TCAAAGATTGGACTGGACTGTGGGACATAAAGTGATACTCGTGAAGAGTGTGCTTCTTAGCTCAAGTAGATACATGAGACTAAATGGGCAGCTTCTGTCCAGAGGTGAGATGAGAAGGCAGAGAGGGTTAGAACCTGGTTGAATCGACATGGGAAATCAGGTGGAAAGGAGGAGTGTGCTGTCACAGTATAGGGAGAGCAATTAGGGTCACGTAACAATGTATGTATAAATTTTTGTATATGAAATGTAAACTTTCTCTTAAACTACAACAATAAACAAAAGAAAAAAAAAAAAGATTTGACCAGACACTTCACAAAAGAAAAAAAAAAGAAGTATGGCAGGGGACATTTTTAATAAATAGAAGGGTACAATACAAAGATAGGACTGTAGAACATTCCCTCCCAAATACTCAGGAACCCATTCTGAAATAGATTAGCCTCCTCATCTCAGCTTCTGGGAGTTGGCTGCTATACTCCACTGCATGAGTCAACCCTCTGGGAAGAGCTAGCCTGTATTTCTAGGACAGAAAGTTGAGTAAGTGCCTGGGTCTCTTCATCTCTAAGGCAGATACTCACTTTCACTTAATGATGCTCATTCTCTCACTGTTCTACTGGTGACAGGGTAAATGAAAAAAGAAACATGTTCCAGAACACAGGTATTTACATTAAGAACACTTTATGTTAAAGTATGAACAGCAGTTCCAATAAACGTGAAAAGATTTATCCTATATCTATAAAATTTAAGCCTTTGCTACAATAATGCTTTCTTTTAAACAAACCTGAAAAGGTTACGGAATGTCACGATCAATCTGTACATTCTCATTGCAGCATTAGCTTGAAAGACTTTGATGTTTAAATTGGACAATCATAGATGTGAATTTCCTGGTCATCTCCAACAGACACAATTTTTGAACCATTTCCATTGTATTTTACTCCCCAGACCTGTAAGGAAAAAAAAAAAAGTTCTACTAATATGACTTTGTTATAAATGAAGAGCCTTACTTCTCATTATACTGAATCTAGAAACATACTCTGAGATGAGGATGTTCTCGTACTTTCTCAGTCGGTGAGAATGGGGCCTTGTCTTTAACCAGGTGTCTTCCATTACTGCTGTTTAATTATCACTCCCTTCCCCTCCCCTACTCAGAAAATGTCATTTCTAAACACTAATCAAGATACCTAGCAACCTTTCAAAGATTCAGAATCCAGGGGATGGCCTAATACCATGCAGATGGAACCCACAAGGAACCAGCACAGGCTCTCATTTATGTTTCCAGGAATAAAATGCCCCACAACTACCCTGAGGTCACTGGCAACAGGGACAATTGTCACCTGTGCTCCTCACCTAACTCCATGCACCACCCCCTGCAGTCAGTAATTCTCACTCTGTTATTAGCGCCTAGCAGAGCCTGTCGGCTCCCAGGAGCTAGACAACATGACATTGTGGATCATTGATTTGATTTGCTATGTGTTGAATTAACAGATTGCGAACCTGTTTCCCAGACAGAATTGTTTCATCAAGAATAAATTTTGTTTGTTTTGTTTTATTTTTGGTGAAAATATACACAGCAAAACTCATTCCCCTTCCACAGTTTCTAGACATAAATGATTAGTACCAAAAAACCAAACCTGTTGTTCCTGACTCACAGCGACCCCGATGCCTTAGTTCTACTAACTGCCCCACAGGTTCCCAAGGAGGGGTCGGTGGATTCAAACTGCCAACCTTTTGGTTAGCAGCTGAGCTGTTAACCACTAAACCACCAGGGCTCAAACAAGGGCTTGTCAGAAGTGGGATGATTAGTGACATTGGTTAAATTCTTCACATTGTGTCAACATTCTCATTATTTCTGTTCTAGTTGTTTCATTTCCATTTATTTAATCTCCCTGGCCC